TGGCTGGTCAGAGCCCAGTGACCCCCTGGAGCTGGTGGTGACAGGTGAGGAGCCCAATACTGTCCCTTCTGTGTCCTGATGGTCTATTCAGGGCTCTGTCCTCAAGAGTTACCTGGGCTGGGCTGGGAGGGGGGTGCTGCAAGGGAGGGTCACTCAAAGGAAGATCTGCCCCTCAGCTCAAAGGAGGCCAACAGAGGCCCTCCCACCCGTTGCCCCTCTCCTGGGTCTAAAGGTGCCAGGTAGGCAGCTGGAAGGTCTTGGGGAGTCCATGGGGCAGGTGTAGGAGAAGTCTGAATGAGATGGGGACTCCTGGGTCAGCCCCAACCCCCCCCATCCACAGGACCGCTCAACATCGGTGTGCCCCTGGGGTCTGTTTGCTCAGAAGGAGCACACACTGCCGCAGGTCAGTTCTGAGAGCCCCTCAAAGGATCTAATGCCCCCCAATACTCAGAAACGATCTTGCATCTCGGGGGGGAGGGCGGCTGAGAGTCCAGCAGAGACACCTGGGGGCCACAACGCTTCAGGAGCTCTGAGGCCGAGCCACAGAGCCGACGAGGGAGAAGAGCGGGAGCAGAGATGTGGTCTCTAGGAGAAGCTCCAGCCCCCAGCCAGCTACTGTCCTTTGGCCCAGGATCCTCTAGAGACCCAGCCCCCACCTCCGCCCCACCCCCCAGGTCCCAGCTCAGCAGCTGCTGAGTCACAGGGGCTTCTGTCCAGGGGGGTTATAATTTCTCCCAGTCTGTCAGGAGGAGGGCTGGGAGCCGGGTAGAAACGGCAGGACCATTCCGGGGCTCCAGGGGCTCCGAGGCCGGCGGAGAAGGGCCGGGGTGGTCACGGCAGAGGGAGAGGCTGGGGGCCCAGCCGGGGACGCAGGAGCCAGGTCGAGTGAGTGAGGGCGGAGCTCAGGAGCCTACCTCCTCACCTCCCTGCCCTCGGATTATGAGGTATAGGGTGGCACTCGCCGGGAGGGGAGGGTTCTCAGCGCTCCCTGAGTTGGTGATTTGGGGCAGGTCCCTGTGGTCCCTGTCCTCTCTGAGCAGAAAAGGGCAGCTCAGTGCCCTGTCTACAGGAAAGTCTGAGACAGGATGCCATAAAGGGATCGCCAAGGGCAGTTCCACAGAGGCGGGTCCACCCGGGAGCGCGTGGGAATGGGCCTCCTGCCCCGCGAAGCGCGATCCCGGCAGTCTCGGACAGGACTGAGGAGGGAAGGGCACGGACCTAGATGCCACGACCCTGAGAGGAAATGAGGTCAGACAGGTGACAAGGCAGGGGCCCCACCCACTGACTTCCTGGTGTCTCCCGCTCAGAAGCAGGACATTGGCTACTAGCCAGAGGCGGGGGCGAGGTAGGAGCTCCCCTGCTGGGCACGCAGAATGCGTCGAGGGGCGGCTCTGCAGGAGCTCATCTCTCTGGGAGGGGGAGCTTCTGAGAAGGGCGTGCCCCCTCGGAAAAGGGGCGGGGCCGGGGGCTGCAGTGACCTCTTGTCTGACCTTCACGGCCCTGCCTCTCCAAGGAATTCGGATCTGGGAACGGTTGGGAAGCCGAGGGAGACGCAGGTGCACGTGATTTTGTCCATCAGGCCCGGGTCTCAGCAAAGCAAGAGGAAGTACCAGTAGGATGGAGACAGCGGAGATTAGGACATCCCCATGGATTTAGCATCTCAGGCCCTCCTCATCCCACACAAAACTGCGATTTTCTCCTAAAAACCACCTGCCGCTTGTCAGCATGCCGCAATTCCTAGGCCTCCAGCCAGGTTTGGAGAAAGTGTGGGATAGAGGATAGAAAGGGTTCGCAGCGCTTGGGGTCCAGGGAGGATGCGGGGAGTCTGGGACAGTTGTAGAGGACAGACAGACACCTCCTTGGCAGCTCTTATTTCCCATTTCCAAGAGACCCTGAGGATGGAGCCCCTCACCCACACCCGAGGAGGCGTGGAGCCCTCTCACACCAGGCCTGGAGCTACTCAGACTAAGGTGGGATTTTCTGAAGGCGCAGGTGGAGCTCACCAGACACTGTCCTAAAGAGAAGGCTCCCTGCCTGTGGGCACCTCTCTACCGCCCCCTGTGCTCACCTGGGGGCCTCCATGCCCCTCGGTGCACACCTGAGACGGAGGAGGGGCCGTGCCCGGCTCACGGGAGTCCCCAGGGACGCTGCACTACGTGTCCGTGTGCAATTTGTGTCCACTCTGCATTGTGTGTGGATGTTTGTCCAATGTCCCTGTGCCTGCTTCTCAGAACTTTTAAAGCTGTCCTTGCAGAGGGACGCCTGGGTGGCTCGGTGGTTAAGCGTCTGCCTTCGGCTCAGGTTATGATCCCAGGGTCCTGGGATCGAGCCCCGCATCGGGCTCCCTGCTCCGCGGGAAGCCTGCTCCTCCCTCTGCTTGTGTTTCCTCTCTCGCTGTGTCTCTCTCTGTCAAATATAAATAAAATCTTTAAAAAAAAGCGATTTCTGCAGATACAAATTTACGTTATGAGGATTTATGGCTTAAAAAATTATCCAGGGCGCCTGGGTGGCTCAGTCGTTAAGCGTCTGCCTTCGGCTCAGGTCATGATCCCAGGGTCCTGGGATCGAGTCCCACATCGGGCTCCCTGCTCAGTGGGGAGCCTGCTTCTCCCTCTCTCACTCCCCCTGCTTGTGTTCCTGCTCTAGCTGTCTCTCTCTGTCAAATAAATAAATAAAATCTTTAAAAAAAATTATCCAATTTCATTGGGATTAGATGAAATGTATATATTCATTATAGAGAGTAATTTATGATTATGAAGTTTTTTTTAATAAAACATGCTTAGAAACGAGCTTTATAAATGATGCAGGTGCATTCTGAAGTTTTTTCTTTCATCAAATTGTCTACACTTGAATCTTAAAAAGTGTTCAATTTTTATTCATTTATAAGTAGATTTTTTATTTCTTAATACTTTCTAACTAATAGTTAAGTATATATAACAATGATACTGGTTTGGTTATATTAATTTTATATTCTATTAACTTAGTACAGAAACACCACCTTTCAGGTGCCTCACAATTGATCTCCATTGATTAACTGATAATCATTATATCAACCTCAAAAAAATTGAAACTTATCTCTTTATTTCCAGATTGTGCACCAGTGTTGTTTGTAGCAAATATCTCATGATAATGATGACAAAGTAAGATGTTAACACGAATCTAAGTGTTACTTTAAGAAAACATCTTAGTTGATAGCCCAAATTATTTAATTGTTTTAAGTCAAACGCATTTTAAAAATCTGTATTTTTATGTATATAGCAATACTAAACTGTCTGCTTCAGTCCATTTCTCTGTTACATTCAGGTCTTATTAGGAAAAAAATATTATTTTCTTAATACAAATTAGGAATGGAATTTTTTCTGGGCTTGTACATTTCCTGACTTATTCTTTGAATTTCATAGCCCTAGTGAGACACATTTAAAAGACTTCTTGGTATCAAACATTTGGATATTAACCCACTGAATGATGTCTATGCTTCATTCATACTTTCTGAATTGTTAAAGCTTATTTAAAATTTCCACATGGAGATTTATAATTAGAATTCATCTGTACTTCTTTATCTTTTTGTTTTTTATGTGAATGGATTAAATTAGATTTGCAGGATTACCTAATTTTGTGTTCACCAGTTTTATAACAACACTTATTTTCTCTGTTCCTTGAGGGTTTGAGGTGAGAGGGGCTGTCTTTGAAGATAAAAATCAAATGACTGGTGTTCTTCCTTGAAATCTTTCGGCAGTTTTCAGAGTTCTTCGTGACTGACAGACAGAGATAGAGAAAGAGATGAGAAGGAGGCAGACAGTGATGATGATGATGATGGTGGTGGTGGTGGTGATGATGATGGTGGTGATGATGGTGCTGGTGATGGTGATGGTGGTGATGGTGATGGTGGTGGTGATGGTGATGGTGGTGGTGATGGTGATGGTGGTGATGATGATGGTGGCGATGGTGGTGATGATGGTGGTGGTGATGATGATGATGGTGGTGATGATGATGGTGATGATGGTGGTGATGATGATGATGGTGGTGATGATGATGGTGATGGTGGTGATGATGATGGTGGTGATGGTGGTGGTGATGGTGGTGGTTATGGTAATGGTGATGATGATGGTGTTGATGATGGTGGTGGTGATGAGGATGATGATGATAGTTTTGGTGATGGTGATATCCTACCTAGGATAGTTCAAATAACTAACACCTATATGGTACACATTGAATTCTCTCACTCTCTCTCAATATATTCATATATATATTTATGACCAACCCTTCACCCATGAACACTGGGTCCTGATTGTTGAAAAACGCAAGTTCTCTTATCCACGAGTGGTAACTTACATGCTCAGAATGAACACAGAAATTGAATAGCTCAATTATTTCTATATTGAGAGATGATTTTACACACTAAATTTCTGAGCTAGGGGACACAGGAAGACTCTGCTCCAATGGGACTCAGAAATGAAGTCTCAATTCATAAAACACAAGGAGACAGAAGGAATCCAATGAGGCCAAAGGGCATCCTTCTATAGCAGAGAAAGTGTTCATTAGGGACTCTATGTTAGGTATATCATGAGAAATGGGGGAGGTACAAGAACACACAGCCCAGGGGACAAGTTTGAGTCCCAACAGCACCTCATTTCCCCCCACATTTTTATGGTTCTCAGAAGCAGCTGATGCCATCAGCCCATCACGAAACAAGGCAGACACCAACACTGGAGAGTAGGGGAAAGGCTCAGTTATGGGGATGGCATGGAGGGTTAAGTGCTGTCAAGGGGAGGCGGGTGCCCTGGGTCGACATCCAGGATCCCAGGTGATTTTTGTGTGCCCTGACCTCTGTGACCTCTCCTCAATTCCTAGCCTCCCACACCCAAGATTACACAGTGGAGAATCTCATCCGCATGGGCATGGCTGCAGTGATCCTGGTGGTCCTCGGGATTCTCCTCTTTCAGGCTTGGTACAGTGAGAGAAGAGCCCAAGATGCAGCCAGGAGGTAAACACAAGAGATACAAGAGAGAACAATGCAATGATCAGAATAGCAGAGCCCGGGAAATACACCTTGTGTGCCCAGGAGGTTCTGGAAGCGCATGTGGGGCAAGTGCTGTGTGAACCGTCTGCAGATCATTGTGAGGAGGAGGAGTCATGGCTCCAGTGTGGGGACAATGTATGCACTCTTTTGCCATTAAACCGTGGACTCTCCTTCCAAACCATTGTTGAGTTGTCTTCACTGGCTCCCATCTTTCCCCATTTCGTGAAACCAGCTTATACCCACATGGCAGATTTCAGTCCACACCTCCATACACTGCCATGCTCTGGTACAATTTCAGGTAATACATTTTCCTCCCTTCTAATCACCATACACCTTAAGGTCCATGAAGGCATCTCCATCTCTTCAGTTCAGATAATGCAGGCTGTTTTAATGAATCATAAATTGGCATAAAAAGATGCAGCCTGAAAGAGATAAATCCATGAGATGCCCCAGTACCCTCTGTGCATCCATCAGCCTTTCACTTCCACCAGATGGCCTGGTCTGTGCTGCCTCTGAGAAACCCACCGTGCAAAATGCTGGTTCGTGGCATTGGCCAGTATCTCTGGTGTATCTCCTCCCTTCACAGGTAACTTCAAGGTACCACTGTGAGGTGGCTTATGGGGAGGAATGTGCAGAACTGATGTCACAAAACAGTACAAGTCAACATAGGATGCATTAATGCCACTCTGGTAGCCCCAAAGTGCACCCAGGTTTCCCTGCATTTTATGTGGAATGATTATTTCTATTTCTCTTGGCCCAGTTTCAGTGAAATCACAAGACTGGAGTTCCAGGACTCCAGATGAGATGTAAACAGTTAAGGTGCACTATCAATCATGGCAGGGGGCATGAGCACACAGACCTAATGCATTACTTGTAGGGTGCAAGTTACATGAAATCGAGAGATGGCAGATCCTTAAAAACTTGAACCCAGAAGTACCATGTCACCAAGAAATTCCACTTCTGGGCATAAGTTGGAGTTCTGCAAGGTAGACAGTTCTAGAGATCCCCAGACAACTCCATGCCTAGAGCAAACAATAGGGTCCTGACACAGAAATCTGTAAAGAGGGTAGGTCTCATGCTAAGCGCTCCTGTTACCACAATGAAAAACAGAGAAGAAAAAGAATTGCATCCAGGTAATTGAGCAGACACCTATGCAAGTATGTTCATAGAAGGACTCACAAGAGACAAAAGGTGGTGACAATCAAATGTTCACCAACTGACGATGGATTAACAAGCATTACCTGCATCCAGCTAGTGATTTGCACAAAGCATGGAGGTAGAATCCAGAAGAGCTCATGTCTGGAGGACAAGAGGCAGTGGGGAGGCAGGAATGACTCGGTTTTTGCTGGAGAGAAGTCAAAAGAGAGGAAGTGTGTGAGGGAAACAAACCACAAACCCAGGCCCAGAGCCAGGTGGTCATTCCCTCTGTGAATCAGTTAACAGTCTTATAAACATGTTCCCCATCCTTCTCTGGGGTTACCCATCCTGGATAGCCCCACTGGCTCCTCCAGTCAAACAAGGCAGAGCATGGGAGAGCTCTCCATTCATCACTCCCTTCCATGTCACACATGATGACGTCTCCAAAGAGTTCTGCCCCAGAGCCCTCTTTCCATGAACCCATCCACACCACAGTCAGGATCAGTGGAAGACTGGAGACATCCTGTTGGAATCACCATCAGCCTTCCCTCTCTTGCTTCTCCTCCAGGCCCTCACCCCCTGAGGAACTCTCTTATTCTCATGGCCGCAAACCTACCTGTCACTGCCCCTCCCCTGCACAAAACCTGTCCACCTGTCTCCACCTTACTCCAATGACCCAGGTCTACACCTGCCCCTGCACATGTTGATGACCAGGCTGAGCTACCCTTTCCAGCCCCGGCAAGGCCCACTCCTCCCCACAAGCAAACTCATCCCAGTTCACCACCTCCCCTCTCCAGACACACACACAACACACAAACAGTTATAACTACATGTGTGTCTTCTTGGGGTGTGCTGGTGGAGACAATCTCAACAGAGCAGACTCCTTCCAAACCTTCTAGGCCATGAAAACAAAAAAAGAACTATTGCTGGCTCTTCCTACCAACTGTGAATGTGTTTGTGTTACTGGGATTCTGTGAGTGGCTCGCAAGAAACCACAGACACCACTTAGAATGTCGATGAGCTCATCAGGTAGCCAGCAGCTGAAGCTCAGTGTGTTATCACTGCTGAGTATCCACACCACCCTCCTACAGAACGTGGCCTCCGTAGTGGTGATCTCCACACAACAGCAATCTGTTCACACATTACCTTACTGACGATTTTCCTGCTTCCTGGAGGTAAAATCCAGGAACACGTGTGGGGCATTAAAAGCCTGTGTGGGAGCAGGCCCCCCACTCCCTGAGGATGCAGTTCCAGAAGAGGTCACCATCCGGGGCAAGGATGACACCACTCAGCACATTCGTGCTCGCCCCATCTTGTATTGTATTCTCAATCCCAGAGAGTTCCCACGATCCCGTGACTCAGCTTGCTAGATGTCCACCTGTCTCTGAACCTCTCTGTCCTTGGTTTCTGTCTTTCTCCACAGGTTACCAAAACTATGGCCAAATTTCCCATTGTCAACAGTTTGTATTCTCTGTTGTCACTAATCACAGCTTCACTAGTCCTACAGAGGAGTCTGCCGCCTCACCAATGAATCTCCAGCGCCTGGTGCCATGACTGGATGTGGTCACTGCTCACTAATCACTGGCTGATTGTCAGTGTGGTGGGAGGAAGGACGAAAATTTGCATTTACAGAAGCTCAGGAAAGGGAAGTGTCACAGCCCAGGTCACACAGCCTCTGTGTGAGTAAGGGGTAGAAGTGGAACTGAAAGTGGGCTGGCTCCCAGACCCTGCCCTACCTCCCCAGGCTTCATGTGCAGGGACCGGTGCTATGCTCTGGACTTGAGCTTGGTGGGGAGGAGGCGGAGTGAGTGTGGTCTGGGGAGACTCACATCTGCTTTGAACAGTTCCAGGACCTGCTGCTCTCAGGCCACCCTTCAGGGAGAGCAGAGCGAGGCCCTGGAGGGGCTGTCCCGCTTCCTGTGAGGCCATCCATCCGGGACATGTGACCAGCAACACGGGGCCTGGGCTGGGTCACACCCTGTGCATCTGTCCGTCCATCACACTCTGAGGACTTTATAAGCTGTCTGCACGGCTGAGGACCATGGGAGGCAGCGCTGGGACCCTGACCCCCACTGCCCTTCTCTACCTTGGTGAGCTTTCTGGAAATGAGGAGGGATGGGGTTGCCCTCCCCCCCAGCCCCCAGGTCCTGGTCCCTGGGAGATCTCAGGACTGTGGAGGATCAGTGGGGGCAGAACTTCTGGGGGAAGGAGTGTGCTCAGCCCCAGATGTGACCCCAGTACCCAGGGGCCCAAACCAGGCCTGGAGCAGCTACGTGTGGGTGGGGGACGCACTCACAGGAACTCTCTTCCAGGGCTGTGTCAGGGCCTGTGGGACCAGGCACGGACAGGTAAGTCCTCCCCAGACCTCCTGCTTCTGCCCAACAACCCCCTGGGCAGCTGGAGGGTGCAGAGGGTCAGGGCTGATGGTGACCGGTGTGGGAAGGGCCTTGGGGCGACAGGTGGGAAACTGAAGAGAGAAGGGCACCCTTGCAACTCCATCTGATTCCTTTCCAGGGACCCTCCCCAAACCCTCCATCTGGGCTGATCCTGGCCCCATGGTCACCAAGGGGAGCCCTGTGACCATCTGGTGTCAGGCGTCTCTGCAGGCTGATGTCTACTATCTGTATAAAGAGAGTGTCCATGGATCCTGGCCCATGAAGACCTCACAGGATTCCAGCAACAGGGCCAGTGTCTCCTTTGCATCCATGAGCTCACACAATTCAGGGAAATACCAGTGTGCATATCAGAGAGGGAAGAGCTGGTCACAGGGGAGTGACCTCCTGACCCTGGTGGTGACAGGTGAGGGCAGGAGCTGGTCCCCTCCCCCTGGGGGCCCTCCTCCAGGCAGAAGAGAATGGAGTGTGGCCTCAGGGGGACCCCTTGCTCACAGTCCACAGTCCATGGGGTACATGGGTTGATGGCCCCTATAACAGCTCCTTCCTTCTCTCTCAGGAGTGTATGATGCACCCTCCTTCTCAGCCAACCCAACCCTTGTGGTGGCCTCGGGAGGGAATGTGTCCCTCTCCTGTAGCTCACCGTGGCCACGGGGGTCATTCCATCTGCTGAAGGAGGGGGGAGCTGATGTGCCCCAATACCTGGAGTTGACGTTCCGTCGGAAGCGGTACCAGGCAGTCTTCCTTGTGGGCCCTGTGAACACCTCCCATGGGGGGACCTACAGATGCTACATTTCTCCCGAATCGTACCCATATTTGTGGTCACAGCCCAGTAACCCTCTGCACCTTCAGGTCACAGGTGAGGGGGCCCCTGCTTCACCCCATCTACCTCCTGGGCCCAGATGACTGACCTAAGCCATATGCCCAGTGGAGCCCTGGGGTTGATGGGGGGTGGGTGACAAGGTCGTCCTGGGGCCAGACCCACAGGTGGGAGGCCTTGGGAGGGACCCATACGAGCCTCACGGCAGGCCCTGGGCCAAAGTTGGGTGTGAGTCCCCTCAGTGCCACTGTCCCCTTCTGGCCAGGTGTCTACAGGGAGCCCTCCCTCTCGGCCCAGCCGGGCCCCCTGGTGCAGTCTGGAGACAGCCTGAGCCTCCTGTGTCGCTCAGAGACTGGCTTTGACAGATTCGCTCTGACCAAGGATGAGGAGCTCAGAGCTCCCCAGTGTCTAGACGGGCAACCCAGCCCCAACTTCACCCTGGGCCCTGTGAGCCGCTCCCACGGGGGCCGATACAGATGCTACTGTGGACACAAGCTCTCCTCCACGTGGTCGGCACCCAGTGCCCCTCTGGACGTCCTGATCACAGGTGAGGAGCCCCCGGCCCCACGTCCCGACTCAGGGCCTGGGAACACGGTTGCCCCTGGGTGATGGGGTCCAGGGAAAGGGTCAGGAGCACAGGCTGATATGGAGACGTGGTCTAGAGACCGGGCCTGAGAGAGGGACAGTGAGGGCCATGGAGATAAAGGACGCCCACTCAGAGAGACAAGAGGTGCTGAGAGGGGGCCCCACAGAGAGTCTCTGGAGAGAGGATGGTGGTCCCCAGCTCAGGGTCAAGGGCGTGTGGGGAGGGGTGGCTCTACACGTCACGACCTTGCTCTCCCCCAGGAATGTATGAGAAACCGACCCTCTCAGCCCAGCCAGGGCCTTCAGTGTCCTGGGGAGAGAACGTGACTCTGCAGTGTCGCTCTGAGGTCTTGTTTGATAGCTTCCACCTGTCCAAGGAGGGGTCCCTGGCTCCTCCCCAGGTCCTTCATCTGCAGGACACAGTGATACCTAACCAGGTCAAGTTCACCCTGAGTCCTGTGACCTCAGACCACGAGGGGACCTACAGGTGCTACAGCTCACACAGCAACTCTCCCTACCTGTTGTCACAGCCCAGTGACCCCCTGGAGCTCCTGGTCTCAGGTGAGGAGCCCACACCCCATGTCCATTGAGGGCTCAGATGCTTGAGTCACAGCCCTGTTCCTGGAGAGCTCTGGGCTGGGATGGGAAGGAAATAACAACAGGGAGCTCAGCCACTGGGTGATCCCTCTCTGTGGGGGATGGAAAAGTCAGAGAGTCCCATACCATTTCCATGTCTTACCCCAACCAGATGACAGAGACAGGGCCAGGACTGTGCAGGGAGGAGACTGAAGGTTATAAAGAATGAACTTTGAGGGGAAGCAGTAAGGCTGAGGGGGACATGAAGAGCCCCCACAGCCCCACAGCCTCCTTCTTCTTCCAAGGAGCATTTCAAGTCTTCAGGCCCTCACCCCCATGGACAATCTTCATGTCTGCTGGGAAGAGAGACCTCTTAGCCTAGAGGAGACAGTCTTCCCAGTCCTGGGCTGAAATTCGCTGATCCTCTGCACTTCATGTACTTACATAGGGGTTGTTCCCACAGGTCCTGGGGCCAGGAGAGGGCCTTGAAGGGAGGGACATCATGTGTCCAGCAATACTGAGATCATGAGGGCCCACTGCGTGTCAGTGGGAGAGGAAAAGCATGAAGAAGCCCAGTTCAGGTGCAGAGAAAAGAGTTACTCTGTCTCTGTTCTTGGTGCTGATATCTAGAAAGTATGACTATCGTGGCACCTGTGGAATCAGACCCCCAATTTGTAGAGCACAATAAAGGGTGCCTCTCATATTCAGGTCAGGAGGCTGGGGAATCCCTGGAAGTCATAGCCCAAGCTGAGTTGGATCGGCCACTCTTGATTGAGACATTGACAAAATTCTATTCATATCTGAGACTTTGTTCTCCCAGTTATCATAGGCTGAATCCTATCCTGTGTTTCAGAAGACTAAATCAGATCAGAAATTTGGTACCAGTGAATTCTCTGAAAGATGTTTCAGGAATTCCTCTTTCTTGGGACTTCTCTACTCTTAACATATCCTGTCTCCACCAGTAACCCTTGGCATTATGGAAAGGAAAGAGAGAAAAGCTGGATTTCTGCCCAATTTCCACGAGCACCAGGTTGTCAGATGGATCAGGTCATCCTCCAAAACATCTTCCATAAGAATTTATGTTTAGTGTTCCCTCCCCCAACCCTAGTGTTACCTGATATTTCTTGATATTCCAAGCTCATATCTATAGATCTCTGTATATTTGTCCATGTGCTCATTTGAGTTTTTTCTTTTATCATTGATCATTCCTTTTGCTTGTTTCATATCTGTCTTCAGTCTAGACAACAAATGAATGAAAAATTAGAGTTGATGTGAATTATGGTAATCCTTGCTCCTAGAAAAATGCCCGATGTGTGGTACATAATTCATCATTTATTTTCAAAGAGAAGAGATGGGATGGATAAAGATGAAAAGTGCTGTGGAAATATATCGTCATAAGTCAGGGACCAGAAGGAGCTGGCTGGTGTGCAGGGATAAAAAGAGAGACCCAGCCTTCCACTCCTCCACGTTCCTGATTCTCAGGACAAAATGAAGCCTCAGGTGTTTATTATTGTCTCCTAGTTAGATGGAAGGTAAGACTCTGGAGATGCTCACCTCAAGGGATTGAGATGACATTAGCTAGTTTCAGGGACTCGCTGGAGATAAGAGAAGGGAATACTTCAGCATTACTATGTCTTCTCAACCACAGGCTCTATTTCTGACTCTCAGGTGTAGCTGATACCCTCAGACCATCACAAAACAAGTCAGCATCCAAGAGGGATGAGTCAGGAGAAATTCTCAGTTATGTGATGGGCTCACAGGGACATGCAGGGATGCCAGGGTGATTTCAGTCTGCCCTGACCACCACAATCTCTTTGTCCACAATCTCTAGCCTCAAACAGCCAAGATTACACAGTGGAGAATCTCATCCGATTGGGGATCTCTGCCTTGATCCTGATGGTTCTTGGAGTGCTGCTCTTTCAAGCTGGGCACAGTCAGAGAAGACCCCAAGATGCAGCCAGGACATAAATGTAAGAGAGAGAAGACTGACTTTTCAGTGAGGTGGAACTTTGAAAATGAAATTGATGATACCAAGCGTTTCTGGAAGAAAATCTGGGCATAAGTTGGAGAAGCATTCTGCTGAGAATAGTCTGGGTACAAACATGGTTTGGGTGCAGGAAAATGTCTGGGTTGGTGCTGTAGTGGCTCTTCTGCAATTAAACTGTGGTAATTTCACTCCCCAGCACTTTTCCTTCCTGGCTTTTCCTTGACGTCTTCTGGACTGGCTTCCTTCTTTCCTCAACCCTATGACATGAGGCTACATCCCCCATGGTATCTTTGGGTCTACCTTCATGCTCTGGTCCACCTTCATGGAATACTTTTTTCTCTATTCCCTTGTGTGAGTACTCTTCAGCTCAGAACACAGACTCTGTTTTAAATACTGAATAGATAGATGCATACCAAGTCCAGTTTGGAAAAAATACATCAAAAATCATTCTGTAAGAGGATCTGGACCCACAAGACATTCCCTCTTCATCATATGATAAATGATATTATTTCTCCAGAAGTATCATCACTTGGAATGAACACACCGGTGTGTGAAGTGAGAGTCACATACATGCTCTGGGGGTAAACTGGCTATAAGGAAATACCATTTCCCGATTTAAGGCTTTTACTGATTTCTTTGGTGATTTAAGGCTTTTACTGATTTAAGGCTTTTACTGATTTCTTTGGTGAAAATACTCCCTATATGGCCAAACTTGAAGCTGCCTGTGTGTATCCACTGAATGCAGAGCTAGGAAGTAATGATTACAGTCATCTCTCCCATGTGAATAGGAGCCAAACGCAGCACACCTACTGATAATACCCACCAATGTACATGTGTGTGTTCTTCTATTTTCAAGGTTCTGGTCACTTTCACCTCGAGTAGGATGGAGCAAGCCTCGGTTTTCCCTAGACCCTGAGTAGCAACCAAAATTGTTCTTAAATGAACATAGCAAATACTTCACATGTTGGCATTGAGGTTCCCTCAAAACATGTTCCCCAACTACCTGTTCACCCTCACCTGAGTCTGATCAAACAATAAGCCATGTCCCAGGTGAGAAGTTGGGTCTCTCAACAAACACTTAAAGATCACAGGGCATGCAATTAAGGATTTAAAATAGGTTCATGTGATTTTCGGACCTCGCCATTCCCCATGAATCTGAACTGGGATGGAGGTCATCAATAAAGATGTGGGGGCTACTTCAGGGATAGTATTCAATCTCATTAGGCAGTACTCTGGGGATCCCACAGGTCTTGGTTTCAGATCCTGTAAGTAGGATGCCTGGCCTCATCTTGGTCTCCAATGAGGGGGAATTAGAGAAAGGCATGAGGAAGATGTGGCCCCCCTTTCCAGTAGAATTTCTACATCAAAAGTCCTCATATATGACATCCTGTGAATCTCTTCTCTCTGACTCAGTTACTCCCTCATGAGAGTCAGAAAGAAACAAACAGAAAAACAGCCAGAAAACAACTAATCAAATGGCAATGGCAAGTCTTCACATATCAATAACCACTTTCAATGTAAACGGATTATCAAAACACATAGAGTACCTGAATGGATAAAAAGAAGCAACATCCAACAATATGCTGCCTACAACAGACTCACTTCAGCTTGAAGACACAGGTCTGGCGAAAATGGAAGGGAGATGCAGTGGAGTGAAAACACACCTTATAAACTTTGTGTAAATTTAAGGTGTACAGCTCTTGATTGATAGATAGCAAGGTGATTACCACCATGTCTTTAACTAACACCTCCCTCACATCACATAATTACCATTTGTTGTTTTTTGGGGGGAGGTGAGAACACTGAAGATCTATTCTCTAAACAACTTTCTCGGATTTGATACAGTAGTATTAACTATAATCACAACGCTGTGCATTACATCTCCAGAACCTATTCATCTTATAACTGGAAGTTGGTAGCCTTTGACCACCATCTCCCCACTTCCCTCACCCACCTTGCCCCTGCTCATCACTACTCTACTTTTCTTTGTTTCTGCTTCTACGAGTTTGACTTTTGTAGATTCCACACATAATTAAATCATACAGTATTTGCCTTTCTCTGTCTGATTTATTTCATTTAATATAATGCCCTCAAGGTCCATCCTTGTTGTTGCAAATGGCAGGACTTCCTTCTTTCTTATGACTAATAGTCATACATATATATACCACATGTTCTTTATCCATTCATCCATTGTTGGACATTGATGGATACTGTTGTTTCCGTATCTTGGCCATTGTGAACAATGCTGCACTGAAGATGGGAGTGTGGACACCTCTTCAAGATCCTGTTTCTTTTCTTTTGGATACACACTCAGAAGTGAGACTGATGGAACATCTAGCAGTTCTTTGTTAACTTTTTGATGAAACTCCATACCGTTTTTCCATAATGGCACCACCAATTGATATCCTCACCAACAATGTATAGGATGTTCTTTTCTCCACATGTATTAAGATACCCTACATTCTCTTAGCTTCCTTTTGACTTTCCAGACTTCTTACTTGATGAAGATGTATGTGTTTTCCAAAAAAAGATTTAAAAAAAGAGAGAAACAAACAAAAATCCCCAGACTCTTAAATATAGAGACTGGTGGTTGCCAAAGGGCACATGCATGAAGGGGACGAAGATTTCACTTACTGCGATGAACACTGAGTGATGGATAGCATTGTTGAGCCATTATATTGTACACCTGATGCTAATACAACACTGTGTTAATTATACCTCAATTTAAAAAAAATTTAAATAAAAAAATAAATAGTCTCGGTGATGGACATTGTTGCTATGGTGAGTGCTATGAATTGTGTAAGACTGTTGAATCACAGACCTGTACCCCTGGAACAAATAATACATTATATGTTAACAAAAAAATAAAAATAAATACATAGCTGAAAAAAGATTTGTTTTCTACAATTACACTAACGAGTTTGAAAGTTATACATTGTGTTTCTGATTTTAAGTAGCTACCTGCATTTTTATTCTAGGAACTGTCCTTTATAATTTT